TTGTGATTTTAGACACTGTACCTTCAGTGTCTTGCTACCCATTTCTTTTACTCACAAACTTGTTCAAACATTTATGTTGAAACAAGTCCTTCTCCCACACAAACGGGCCAACCAGATTCAAATCCAGGAAGAGACAACACTACGCTCTAAATCAGGTTCTTTGGCAAAGCCCATATTTTACCCGATTCCCTACAACATTTCTTTTCCAGTTTGAATATAAACTGAAGAGCAGAGACAGAGTAAAATAACTTTTTAAGCCTGAAGCCTGAAAAGTTATTACAGAGTAAACTCACTCCCCCATCGGGCATGCCCGGAATTCAGTGGGAAATCTGCTTTCAAGTTGTTCCTATAGCCCTGGACCAGATGCTCTAAGGTGGCCAGAAACCTTTGTCTACACCCACTTAGCAGATTTCTGGCTCTTTATCAGGGACTAAGAGGTTTATTTGCAGAAATGAATCATTTCCTTCAAAATATCCCTTACCCTATTTACATGCTTGCATATTCTTTCCATTTTGTTTTCCCCCTACAGCTTTACTAAGGGAATTAATTATCTCGAAGAACAGGAACATACAGTAAGTACATCTGAAATACAGGATGAGGCGCAGTATGTCATCTATTAGGCCTGGCTAAGACCAGCAGCTGATGCTAAATGGGAAGGAACATGCACCAAATGTTTTTTAATCACAAAGTTAGTAATTAATTGCTCTTTAAAATACATTTTATGCTTCTTTCTGTCTGTGTACATGAAATGCACATTTATTACATGCCAAAAATTACAACATTATGGTTTAAATGTGACTGGCACGGAAGTCCGGAAAGCAGAGTTAATGTTCCCACGGCAACTTTAATTCTGTCCGTGTGCACATGTAGGGCCATAACGGTCTCCCGCTCCAGGATAATACATATAGATGGTCTGGGGAGGGAAGCTAAAGACCCATATCCTCGACTGTAGTTACAGGAAAGAGACAAAGGGTAAAAACCGTGCTCCTTTCCACATACACAGAGACAAAACAATGTCCCCACGCCTGGTGTTGTGCAATCAGGGAAAGAAAGAATCGGCTGTGGTGCTGGCACTCAAGGGGACAGTTTCTGTTGCTGTGGGAACCTGAACTTTGCATTTCCTGACTTTGGGGTAATTAAAATGTCAGCCTTAATGTGGCATTAATGGAGTTTGCCATAAAAAATCCTCTTTGTTTTGTTCTCTTAAAAAAATTGTTTAAAAGTTCAAACTGAACCAAGTGTACTAAAAATTTTAATCTCGGGGACTTGGCCTGGTGATGGAAGTTGTGGGGGGAGGGGGGAAGTGAAGGGTCGGGAGGGGGCAGACCGGCGAAGGTGGAAGGCCAGAGAGAGAAAGGAAGGGCCCAGCAGTCTCCTCAGACGGTGCTCAGCCCCAGCAGTCATGCTACCTATGGAGCTAAAGTTAAACCCACCCACACAACAGTTTGGTAATGTGTAAAGGTTAAATTAAAAATAAATAAAAACTGTTAATGCATAAGTGCATCTTGGCAAGGACACAGCAAATGAGACAGCCTGCTGAGGCCAGTGCAAAACACCGGAAGGTAAGTCACCACGGATGTCGGCTTCCAACCAAACAAAGACATCAGAATAGGTGGCTCCGCGGCCAAAAGTCGGGAGCACTGCCAAAGGGGGGAGAATCGCTTCTCCCTTCGATGGAAGCCTTATTTGGGGGAAAACAAAACGGAAGAAGCCCGCGAGTCGTAGTTCTGGGCGAGTGTGCCACATGTACATGACTGTGACGTGCCGCAGCTTGAGAGTTGTCAGGCTAGGGCGGGCTTCCTCTGCTCTGCTGACTCGGGTTAGGCCTCTTTACACGTCTGAAGAGAGAGCTCGGCTCACCTCTTCCTCAGGCTGTTCCTCAGCAGGGAACCATTCTGTCAAACACCTAGGGCTTTCGTACCCTTTGCATTCCAAAACTCATCTCAACGCCTTGCGTTCTCATCATCGGAGTTTGTTTACCACTGGAGTTTTGGAAACAGTGAAGAGGCCGCAAGCTAGGAGGTCATGGGGGAATGTCGCTAGGAGGTCATTGGTAGTGGGTGGGCCACGGAGCAGCACCCAGTTCTGCAGCGATAGTAACCTCACCATCTCACAAGGGGAAGCATTTTTCAACCCTATTCCTTCTTGGTTTGGATATGACTGGGATCTTTGGCAAAATTTGAAGTCGCTGGGCAGGTTAAGTAGCCAGCTGAGAATTTTAGGGGTCAGACTTGTCTAAAACATTGGCCTGAGTCCTTCAGAGGTGACAACACTACATCTCACCCGCTCTTACCGGTTCATAGGCAGAGCTGACTCTCTTGTGGGGATGCTGATCCACAGTGTTTTAGAACTCAGTCACCAATACGAGTACACATTTTCAAGAATGCCATTTATGGGCTTGGAACAGAGAATTCAGGCTGCTTACAGGGAGAGCAAATCCATAAACATCCCTCACTATCTGAATGAGTTAACTACCGAGCAAGTCATTCATCGACAGAAGTGTCAATTTTCTCAGTTTTCCTACCCGTAAATTGGGAAGAATTATAATGACTGACAGGAAATGGGCATTAGAGCATGACTAAGAATAATTTTGCTAAACACATAACAAATAAAAAGGTGCTATAAAAATTCAGGCACTTGTGAAAGCTTGGAACACCACACACTAGTGGAATGTTTCTGAAGTTAAAGAGACTAACAAGTCAAGGGCACTATTTTTAAATGCCCCAAATCTGTTAGTTCTAAATAGGAACAGAATATTTTCCCTTAAAGAAATTAGGCTTTTAAATTAATCTATGGTAAGAATGACATTTGAAAGTAAAAAAAAAAAAAAAAAAACAAAAAAAAAAAACTTCTTGAATGCAAGAAGAGCATCCAAAAAATTTAACAGCTTAAAATAAACCTCTTTCCTGTCTTCTCTCAAGCAATCTCCAAATGGACAGATTTCTGTGAATCTTTCCTAAAAACAATTTTCTTCTAAGTCTAGGCTCAAATCAGGACAAACTACGATCCAAATATATTTGGAGAAAAGCATAATCGATTTCATCAACAGGTTAGGACAGAGAGGACGTACACATCTTAATGGCAAAATCGGAATGACTTTCTACGCAGCTGGAGATTAGGTGTCTCCTCCCTATCTGTTCTCCTTCCAACTGCATTCGGACACCTCACTGTGAGCTCCGATCTCCTGGCTCCCTCTGGGTCACTTCTGAGCTGTACGGCAGCATGATGCTCATACAGTTTCTTGTTCGTATTCCAGGCTAATGCCGAGACCTGGCTGGAGGATGCTTATGGTAAAGTACAATAAATGAAGCCCGGTGCCTTCTCTATTCAGCAAAACATTCATTTTGCTGCAACAGGGGATTTCTGGGCTAAGGCCATTCTATGTAATCTTCCCCATAAGGTGTGGCAGAAGGCCAGGCGATGAAGGTGTGCGTGCAGGAGCTCCAGGCCCTTCTCCACAGGAATGGGCTACCTTCCTGGTAGGTAGGGACAGCGCGCACATGCCTACGGGCACTGTGCCATGTGATTTTCCAATTCTTCCTGTAATTACTATTAGGCTGGAGACTGCCAAGCAAGAAGGGCCAAGGATGTTACTATTATGATGGTCCATAGAACACAGTCCTTGCTCCTGATCCCCAGGGCTCTCTACAGAAGCAGCAACTTAGTACAAATCACACGGGCTCTAGAGATTCGGATCCCGTTCTTTCTCGTTTCACTTTCTAGTGACAGCTGGAGCAGCCACCAGAAGAACAAGCTCCTTTTCACCCCGACCTCAACCCCTGGGTTGTTTGTCCCTTTACTTAAGACACTATGATGATGAAGCAAGTAGGGAATGGAATCGCCCAGACGCATCCACTTCTTGCCCACTTTGCAGAGTTTTACATTTGTTTTGTCAGAAAAATAACAAGAGGAGATTTAGACTCTCATTTCCTAATTAAGGATGCTTGTGTCCATGGACAGGATAAATGGAGTCCTTTTTTGAAAACAAAACCGTCTTGGTCTTATTCTTCCTCCTTCTAAAGAAGAACACGCCAGCTCTTTGCCTGTTACTAGACATCCTGTATGCAGATCAGTTCAGAATACTTGTTGGGTATCTTAACACCAAAAGGAATATTCTTTCAGGTCAGACCCCAGAATTATTCCATTCCTTTCCACTGTCCCACCACACATGTTCCTTTCTCTTTGAAGTATTAGGCTACACTTCAAAAAGAGAAAAGCTCCGAAACATGATTTATCAACTTCTTAAAATAGAATTTGAAGAAGTGACTCCCCGATTAGTGGTAAGACAGCAAAAATAAACAGCAATGGAGTGATTTCAATGGCGACGATCTCATTAAGCTGCCCATTTCCAAATTTAGCCCGTAGGCAGTTTTTTTTAATTAAAAAATATTTTTAACCTGAATTCTTATTGGCTACGTGAAGTCTGGGTGGATTCTGAATTCTTGGAAGCCATTCTTTTTTCTTCTGTAAATTTATGCTATCCTTTAACCACTTCAAAATAAATTAAAAACTGGAAGGACGGAAATTCAGCCAAGCCAAATGAGACTCCAATAACTAATGCAAAGCTGACTTGTATTATGTAATTTCAAAATGGATGTTTCCTGTGTCTAACTGGCTTTTTGAGGTCCATATTTGGTGGTTCAGTTTAGTCATGGTGGAAGTGCTGTTATTCAGATCGCGGGGACAAAAGAATAATTAGAAAACGGTAACCCAACTTTTTTTTTTTTTTTTTTTTTTGAGTAAATGTTATAAAAGAAAATGTGGTTCATATAATGAATCAGCCTTTTGAGGCCAAGTGGCTGGACACCTGGTTTTAAAATACACTCTAGCTTTGAAAATATGGACGTTGGCTGAATCAGAATGGAGGCAAGTTCCCTTTGACTACTCTACAAGACCAAATGGAAATGGCTTGTTCGGAACGCAAAAAAAGCCAGAACCCAGGGGAGAAGCACGCCACTCCAAGAGCCACGAAGACACCATCACCTTACTGGTGTACTCACAATCAGATGACCCGGTGTGAGCGTGAGAGTTTGTCAGTGAATGTGTTGAGTGGATGAGGGCTGGGTCTGGAGACAAAACAGCTTCAAAGTTCAGGCAGGGAAGGCCCGGCTTGGCGCTGGATCCACCCGGCTGAGTAATCTCATTCTCCTCAGATGCCTTCTGGTTTTCAGCTGTCTTGGGTTTCTTCCTGAAAATAAACAAAGGGCCCTTTGAAGGAACTGACTGCATATTTGGGAAAAGGCATTTTTAGAATCTGTTAAAGATAACTTGATTTTTTTTTTTTCTGAGGGGGGATGGGAGGGAGTCCAGTATGTCCCTTGTTTTAAAACAAGCTGATTCTTGTTTTTTTCCCTCCAGTAATGGCCTAACTGGGAACACATGAAAGCATATGGGCCAAGCAAACAGCACCACATTTGGACTCTGTTGGCTGCATAAAAAGACCCTGTCCCAGAACTTTAGACAGATTGAGCTACGTATGGCTGACATTATCCAAGAAAGCATCCTTTTTTCCCCCTTAAGAGTTTTAACATGGTCTGGAAAAATACTAGTGGAGGTTTACCGTTCTAGCATTTGTCAGGAAGCTTAGAGACAGGACCCGTGGAGTAATGGGAGGAGCACTGGACTGGGAGTCAGGAGACTTGAGCTATGGTACTAGCTGTGCCTCTAACTTGCTGTGTGGCCTTGGGCACCTCACTTCACCTCTCTGGGCTTCAGTTTCCTCATCTGTAAAATAAAGGGCTTGGATTAGAAGGCCTTAAAGGTTCCTTCCAGCTTGAAGTTTCTATTCATGGAACGCATTATGGAACATTCAACTTTCTTGCTGTTATTAGATTTTACTTTAGATTAACACATAATTTCCAATCACAATCTAAATTTGCAGGCTATATAGATGAGAGGGTAGTGATGGAGGTTGTTGTTAAAGTAGCAAATGAAAAATGAAAAGATGAGCTTAGCTTCTAGCAGGTAAAGCGGTAAGGTGTCACACGGAGATCCTCTATTCCAAATCGTTACTCATCCAAAGCTGAAGATTCCCTTTGTTTGTTGATTTAGTACATGACTCTGGAGTATGGGAGGGTGACTGTGTGTTTGGGGTGGGAGGAAGAGATGGGTGAAGGGCACTAGAAAGTAATTATTGCCCACTGCTGCTTGAGGTCAGGAATAGGAAGCAAAAGAGCTCAGGTACCCGTCGGCTCTGGTGTCCTCCCTCTTCGGGACGATGAAACTGACATAAACACAGAAATACTTAGCTGACACTGCATGTACCTTAGGTCCCAGCCAAACCGGGTTATTAGTCATACCCTGCACATGCCCTCCAATTTCCTTGGCTCTGTGCCTCTTTCTATCATTATGTGGATGGTGACCAGAGAAATTATTTTATTTTGTTTTTCGGTGGAAGACTTTGTGTGCAACAGAATTTGTTGTAAGTAGCTTTGTTTCCATGTTTTTCTTGTTTCTATAAGCCTGGCAATGGACTTGTCATACAGAATATTTTGTATCGGAATTTGCTGTACGGGGTAGTTAAATCTGCCCTCGCAGAATATGGTGTTATGATTAGCATGCTGTGTTTCTGGTCCAACAGGTTGTGAAATCAAATCTGCTTTTTCAGAGGGCAGGAGGCAGAGATAGCATGGTAAAGATGAAGAGAGAGGGGAAGCTTTCAGACATATTTTTCAGCATGGAGTAGGCCAATATAAGAGAAGCAATGAATTGCAATGCTTTACCAATTGTTTGTTGGATGGGTGACGATGGAACCGACCCCAAGTCTTGAGTGTCTACGTGGACCTCCAAAGCCCGGTTTCTGGTGTTCAGTTTAAGAAAATATCCAAGATCAAAGTCTCCAAAGCTCAACTCTTCTTTATTCTTGGAAACCAGTGCCCCCTCTCAGACCCCTCCCTATTTCTATCACTGTTGTCTGTCACCCGCTTTGTCATCAGGTTGGAAACTGTAGGTGAGTAACACCCTTCTCTGACTTAAAGCCAATTCATCAAGTCCTGACAATTCTGTTTCCTTCATATTTTTTCACATCCATGTTTCCTTTCCATTTCCACCACTATCACCTTAACAGTTTTATTTAGACTGTTGTTTATTTACTGGCTCTCTATCCTCTTTGACCTCTCGGAGAAAATCAGTTTAGCCCAGCACCCCAAATGAGTCCTAAATATGCTCTAGCATATAGACCACATGTTGGCCACACAGGACTCTCAAAGTTCTTGAAAATTCCCAGAACGTCTTGGGGTATCTACATCCTTGGCTCTACATCTTTGTTCAAGTTAGTTCCCTCGCTTTGAATGTCCCTTTTACAACTCTGTTGAAGTCATATTTATCCTTCTTACTTATTAAAGGTTGTCTCCACCTTGTAACTGTCTTGATTTACCTCTACCAGATGGAATGTCTCTTTCTGAAATTCAACTCCGTCCCACCTTTCTCTGAAATTCCAAAAAAATCTATACTTCTCCCTATTTTACTCGCTAAGTTTTGTTTCAATAGTAGTTATTTACGTGGTTATCCGCCCCCCCATGAGACTGTAAACTCTCTGAGAGAAAATGTCTTAGTTATTTTTTAATTCCCTGTGTTCATCCTTTCTTTCCTTCCTTCTTCCCTCGCACCATTCATCTAGTCACATATTCATCTTAAAATATCATGCACCTATGGTGTGCCAGGATAGGTTAGGGAATGCAGCAAGCCTGGTTGCTATCCTCTCGGAGTTTGCTCTCTAGTGTGTACTGTTAAGCAGAGTAGCTTCGACAATGCTGTCATTCGAGGGGTGCCTGGATGGCTCAGTCGGTAAGCATCTGCCTTCGGCTCAGGTCATGATCCCAGGGTCCTGGGATCGAGCCCCGCATCGGGCTCCCTGCTCTGGGGGATGCCTGCTTCTCCCTCTCCCACTCCCCCTGCTTGTGTTCCCTCTCTCGCTGTGTCTCTCCCTGTCAAATAAATAAATAAAATTTTTAAAAGAAATTTTAAAAAAGCTGTCATTCAATATTTGTTTGTTGATGGAGTGAAGCAGAATAGAATTCAAGGTATATTTTGAGAATAGTCATCGTCTAAATCCCAATTAAGTTTCCCTATTCTTTTGTTTTGTTTTTATTTATTTGAGAGAGAGACGGAGAGAGCACAGAGGGAGAGTGAGAGGGAGAAGCAAACTCCCCAGTGGGCAGGGAGCCCGATGCGGGGCTCGATCCCAGGACCCCAGGATCACTACCAGAGCTGAAGGCAGACGCTTCACTGACTGAGCCACAGGAGCCCCAAGAGTAGGACCATTTTGCTTAACAAAGCTGGACTGGTCCTCACGAGTCCTTTAAATATCAGGATGAAATACTAATGGTAGATATCACTTAACAGAAAAACTCTTTTTTTTTTTTTTTAATATTTATTTCTGATGCTTACTGACAAGGCCTTGGCTAGTTTTGGATTTCTGTTTCAGGAAATTGAAAAAGCCCTCTTTCAAACATGAGTATATGACCAAACAACCAACATTACTTTTTTAACACTGCAAAAATGGTATTGTTCTTTATATAAATGCCCTTGCTTTCTTCCCTAAATTTGGTCCTGCTTCCTACCTGGCATTTTATTCCACACCCTCCTGTCTGTTGTCTCAAGGACCACCTATGGAGAACACTAGCAGTACAGAGGCACTGGAAGTCACCTCTACCAATGAAAATATTGAAAAGTCAACCTTCTGGCTCACCCCCTCATTTGCTCATCCTGATACCACTGGGCTTTTTCCACCTGCACAGATAACGGAGAGCCACCAACTGTCCGTAGAAGCAATCCATTTCTCATCTCACCCTCTCTGATAGTTCTGCTGGACTCCTTTTTCTGGAGCCGAGAAACACTGAAACGTAGCAGCAGTCTGTCCAGACATGCACAGGTGCTGTGATGTTGCCCCGTTTTTGCAGGTGATAGTTTATTAAGGAGGAAAAGGCAAGTCCTGCAGTAATTAACTGAAAATACCTTCTTTGGTTGTGCAGAAAGAATCGTATAAACATGGCACATGTGAGGGCAAGTCTGTCCAAGCCTCCATGGCTATGCATTATTCCCTGGAGCCTTTAGAGGGCAGCAGCACACAGGCTACTTGGGCCGCACGTGGGAGAGGCAAACTCCCGACCAGACCAGAACCTTCCTCCCGGTCACCATGCCAAAGGTTGGTTTGCCAAGCTCTGGCCGCTCAGCCTCTTTCTTTCTTTACAGTTCTCCTTCTCCCTCTCTCTCTCTCTCTGTCTCTCTCTCTCTCCCTCTCTCCCTCCCTCCCCCAATGTTAAAATTATACACTCTGATGAAGTCGCCCCTCAACCGGAAAATGAAAGCTCCAGTGAAAAAGTTAGACAAGCCAACAACAAGAAAGAAAGAAAGAAACCGGGAGAAAGGGGAAAGGGGGCTGGTGAGGGGGAAGGATTTAAGAACAAGAAAAGGGCAGATGTTTCGTAAATATATGCAAAGCAAAACTGGGTGTACCCTGAACACTTCCACAGAGAAACAGACCAAACATTGTGCACTTCCTCCCGCCACACTGGTGGAACTCTGCGCTCAAAAAAAAAAAAAAAAAAAAGTGTGGCTGCAGGCACCTGCCTTTCAAACGGTCAGTTCTGACATCCTCACTGAAGATCTCCCAGTTGTCCAAAGAGAACAAAAACATTTTCATCTCCCCACTGCAAACATTTCTCTTAGAGAAGAACTGGAAAGGCGTTTTAAGGTGACTGGTGGCTGGTTTTTTAACTCTCACTGTGCTGGTCCTGGCAACAAGTTTTGGGCTGAAACATAGCAGTGAGTGAGGTTGTGGATGATGTTGGCTCTTTCCTTACTAGACATATTGCATGTGGAAAGAAATATGCATTGAAACATATTGATGAGATAGTAGGTATCAGGCATGTTAAATGCGTGGAAATTAACCAGATCGGTGGCATTTGATGTATATATTTCACACTTCTTTGCACATATTGCACACATACAGTGATGGCAATGCTTTCTACAACATATGGAAAATAAATATTTTATCTGTGTGAGCTCTTATCAGGCTCCCGGGGCTGTTGAGAGGAGAGTGCTCTCTTCTATCTCCCTCTCCCAATTTTCTCTCTTCACTGCCCCCCCACCCCACCTCTCCTGCACATTAACATGCCTTCCACTTATCAGCCTGCTGGATAGGAAAGAATTAGTCAAACCTCCTTTTGATAAATAATTACTCAGTCATTGAATCATGACAATTTAGACCCACAATGCCCTTCCCCCCCCCTTTTTTTGTTTGGAATGGTAACCATTTCTTTATTCTCTTTCCCAACAAAACATTGAAAAGGCTCAGGAGAGTGTTTGGGGAGGGGATCAGAGAGCAGAGGTGTAACAATGCCCCCCCAACCCCACCGCCAATGAAATCCAGCTCTACCATCAAGTATCTGAGTGCCCTAGGCAAATTATTGTGCTTCTCTGGGCCTCAGTGGAAATAATGGGGTAATAATACCTACCTCCTTGGGCTGATGTGAGGATTAAATGAGATAATTCGTGTCAAGCGATTGGCAGAGTGATGGCACATGGTCAGTGCTCAATGATGGTAGCTCTGAGAGAGCATCAGTTCTATGGTTTTCGTCAGCTATAAGGAGGCACTTCCTCGACCTTAGTAATCTTTTTTAATGTCTAGACTTCGTCAGGGACAAATGGACTGTCATTGTAGCAAAGGCAAAAGAATGTAAGGATAAGCAATCTCTTCTTGAACACTTTGATCTTACTGTATCACGCTCCCGACACTTTCTGTTCACTTGTTTGTCATTGCTCTTGCTACACCAAGAGCCCCTCTCGAACTTGAGGGTCAAGCAAGCTACACTGGGCCCTGGAAGCCCATCAAACCTGGGCACTATGGTCTGTGCGTCGAAGCCAACCTTTGGCACTCACGCTTATCACGTCTCCTTACAATTTATCCTTTTACTACTTGGTCTAATGTTCTCAGATCAATTTAAGATGTTTTCGTAATTAAAACATTTTATTCTCTCAATTTTTTCAATTTTCTTGGCAAGGCTGATTTATAATGTTTTTCAGTGTATGTCTCCCTCGCTGTATCAGTCAGGATCCGGGCAAGAAACAGTGGGCACACTCAAAGGTTTTAGCTGGAGAGAGTTTAATATAAGGACTGTATAGTGAGGTACAGAGGAGGTAGTGGGGTGCTCAGGGCGGGGTGAAGCGCCATGCTGTGAATGTCAGCTTTCAACGGTTAAATCCAAGGGGCAAGGAAGGCATGGCATTCTCGGAGTCTAGTCAGAACTGCAGTTAGGAAGGGGGGTGCATTGCCCTCACTCTCCTCCTACCAGCACATCCTTTACTGATGTTCCTTTCGGCCCAGTTCAAAGGGGGAGAGAGCCTGGGAGTGCAGTCCAGAGAGGCCGGCCTCCTGGGCCACATATCAGGGCAGAGAAGGGCTCTGGGGTTTTGTGTGTGTACAGAGGGGATACTAATCAGTGGACCTCTTCTTTCCCTTCTCCGTTTCCTTCACCCTTCCGTCTCAATTTTACTTTCTGGAAAGAAAGACACAGCAAAATAAAGTGAAGTCAGTTCTCTCAGCGTCCATGTACCTATTTTGTCTATTTGCCATTTATGGGGGAGAAAGCTGAATGCGGGCTCCGTGAGAGCAGGGATTTTTGTGTGTTTTGTTGGCGGCCACATCCCTAGTTCCCAGAACAGTGTCTGACACAGAGTAAATTGCCCAGTGAATTTCAGTGGGTCGAGTAAATATATTCACTTCTGCTATGCCAGACATTATACGCATATTATTTCATTTAATTATCACAACAATCCAGAGAAGTAGGCAGGGCTGCTGAGTATGGTTGTGTAAGTGGTCTGGGAGTGGGTAGGTTTTAAAATCTAACACTTGTCCCCTCCCTTCCCATCCCTAAGCCTTGAGACCTGGTCCAGGGCACTGTCAACCCTGGACACATTTTTGTAATTAGTCCACATTTTTATAGTTTATTCACCTTATTGGTTTTGTACCTAGCCAAGTGCAGAAACTTTATTGTTGTTTCTTCTTTAAATATGAGAGAGCTTGCAAAGATTAGAGCCTAATCTGTCCCTGGTAGGACCTGTAAGCCTGAAAGCAGGTACTGGTGTTGGGCACAGGTAAAATGCTTCCTAGGGCAGAAACAGATGCTCACTGGTGGGACTCCCTATGATTTTCAGGAAAGCGTAGGTCCTGATTCCTGGGTGTGGATTTGAGTTCTCTGCAAGAAGGTAGGAGCGGTAAAGACTCTTCCCTCTTCCAAAGGCTACCGATCCTGGGGACCCTGACTACACCCTAGCACAGCTGTGTTACTTGCCCTAGTATAGTTACCCTGTAATGCAGAGAAACCCAGAAAACCATCCAGACGTGGGAATTTCTAAGGCACTCCTTGCACTTCAACTTGAGGATGAATGAATGAAGGTGTCTATACAAGCAAGTTCCTCACATGGGTATGGAGAAACTATTTTTGATCTTCCGTCGTGTCTTTAGTCCCCAGCCCCTGAACCCAGTAGTACTGCAGATGACTCTGGTGGTCCCCATCTCCGTGCTGGCCAGGCAAGCCTGCCTGTCACCTACACGTCCACTGCCACTAATTACAATCCAGGTGACTAAAAGCATTAAAGGGGAACAGCAATGCAAAACAAAACAAAACAAAAACTCTGGCTTTGTCCCTTTGTGTATGATTTATGCCCAAATAGCTAAAGACATAGAAAATATGAATGTGAAAATCCTACCCGAAAGCCTAACAGGGATGTTACTCTCCCAGGGTTAGCATTTCCCAGTAGCAGAGAGGTCTATAAAACACCATCCCATGACCCGCCTCATACCATAGATAGGAAAACCTGAGAATACAACTAGAACGAGGTTTTGTCTTAAAATGTATAATTAAGCTGTTTTGCATGCATAGCCTCTAAATAATTTAACTTTCTGGCTTTTTCAGTTAAAAAAAAAAGGCATCTCTTCATCTGTTACTTTTAGCAATGGTTAATGAATAGTTGATATCAATCTTTCGTAAGTATTGTCCTGGAGGCATCATGCCTCATATCCCAACCTATTTGTGCACCTTGCCCTGTATTCTCCGACATAAATGTCTGACATAGAGGGAACTCAACCACACGCACAGAGCCATGCATCCAGAGGGCAGGGCTGAGCTGGAAGCAATGGGTGAGAGATGCGGCTGAAGGAGCCCCGAGTCCCCAGCGAGGGCCTTGGCCCCCGAAAGGAGCAAGGGCATTAGCTCAGAGATGCGACTCAGACAACAGAGAGATGCCAAGGAGGAAAGCTGGCCCCCAGACCTGACCAGGGTGTCATGAAATGACAAGTTGCGGTGAGATTCAACAGAGTGGCACAGGAGGTGACAAGGGGCCAAGAGATCGGCTGGGAGCTGCCACCACTTCCGGCGCGGGTGCAGACGACCAAGCAGAACAGTGCCAGGCCCCGCCAAGGATGCCAGGATCCGGCCCCGCGTCATCTGGTGAGGAGGCGTGCTGCTGCTCGGGGCAGGTGCTGCAGGCTGGCAGCCGAGGGCCACCTCAGGCTCCTCAGCCTCGAGTCTTGTAGCCCCACCGCGATCAAGACCTGAAGCCATCTACAGCTGCATCTGCATCTACAATTGTGTGAGGGTGTTTGTTTTTTTGTTTTTTTTCCAAATTAAACTGAGTGAACTGAGAAGCCTTTCACTGGAGGCATAATGTACTCACAGTAGTTTCCAAATAAATGGTGTCACTCTTCAGGTAAATCACTCCAAGGCTTGGGCCTAGTGCAGATGTTCATTGGGGCAGGGAACAGAGAGCGGTGGCATCTAGAGCAGACAAGGAAGAAAGATAAGGCCGTTAAATGACAGGTGATGGTGATCAGTCCCGCTGATGGAGACAGAACTGTGGGACTTGGGGGACAGTCCGGTCCTGCACCTTTGCACCAGAGAGGGCCGGCCAGGGGAGGCCGAGGCAGAAGAGAGGATGTCGCCCAGGCTCCATTCTCAGCATGCCCACCTGATGGCGGGGGTGGTCCAAGATCTTCCACAGCACCCTGTCTGTACAGACGCAGCACATTTGGTGGTGGGGACATGGAAGCCGAGGTGGAGGGTGGGGGCGGGGGGCAGTGTCCTTCAACCTTGCCACAGCCGACGCTTCTGCTGGTGTTCTCGACTCCACTGTAGCCTCTCCTGCTGTAGCGCCCAGTTCTTACCTGCTCTGGAAACGCCACTGACCCGCCCACGTTCTGAGCTCCTGCCGAGTCTCTGCCTTTCACTACAAAGTCTCTGCCATCTCCTGTGTCCTCTAACACGTGGCACTCACCCTTAGGGGCTGCAGGGCTGACCACTGTCTGTCTCCAGCCTCACACCCAGAGGTCCTTCCCTAGGCCTTGCCCTTTTGGCCACACCGAGCCCCGATGACCACATTATTCCCGAAACTGTCCTCCCTTCTTGCTGGGATCCTGCATTTTCCTGACTTTCCTTCCACTACTCGGCTCTCTCTTCTGCCTCCTTCACTGGCTCATCTTCATTCTCCTAAATGTAGATATTCCTCAAGATTCTCTTCTCAGTCTTTGCCTACACCCACCCTGCAAGACCTCAACAATTACTTCTCCATAGAGAACACCCACATGGCTATCTTCAGTTCCTGCTTGTCTGCAGAGCTCCAGATCCACATTATTAATAATCTCTGGTTATTGGTTCATTCACTCATTTGCTTGTTCATTCATTCATTCACCCATTCATTCATTCAGTGTTTGCATAGCATCGCTCAGGCACCTGGAAAAGATGAATAAGACAGGGCCTCTAACTCTGAGAAGCTCACACCTCCATCAAATACAGCACAGACACTTCTAATTCAGAAAGTTTAAAACAGAAATCATTGTCTCTCCCTCAAAATATGTTCCCATTTCCTGCCATGGTCCATTTCCTACCATCTTTACCCAGTTACTTGGTCCTACAATGGAGGAGTCATCTTTAATTCCTCCTTTTCTTTTGCTTCTCATATCCAATCAGCTGCCAAGAGATTAGAGGCTGTGCTTCCTAAATCAATACCTACTCTCTCTCCCAACACCTATTTATCCCTTTGTCATCTGTGCCAGGACTTTTGTGAGAGCCTCCCAATGGCTTCACTTCTTCCAGGTTCTTTTTATCTTTAGCCCATCCTTTACATCAATACCACATTAATTTTTCTTAAGTACCACTCTAAACATATCATTCCTTTGCTCTTTGCCTACTGGACTAAATTCAAACTTCTCAGTTTGGCATTCAAGGCCCCTACAATATAGACCCAGTCTAATTTCCACTCTTTATAGTCCATTCCACACCGCAGAGAAGTCCCACTCTTTCCCATCCAAATGCCACCTCATTATGAAACATCTCCCCAAGGAAAGTGCCCTAGTTGAGTCCTCAAGCACTTTCTGCACTACTCCCTTTGCATGTCCTATGGACTCTAGTAATTACTTGTGTAATTTGGCTCCCCCCTCTATAAGCTCCTAGGAAGCAGAGATAATTTTTACTTCCTGTACCCTATAGTATGCAATGCCTTGCACAGAGATTGGCGCTCGGCTGATGTCTGCTGAACCAAAGTTAAAAGGAATCAAGACTCTTGCTTAGAGTCATGGAAACTGAGACTGAATTGGAAAGACCTGAAAGCTCATCGCCTCTCATTTTCCAAATGAGATTAAGGGAACTGACTTGCTCAAGGCCACATCCTTGCTCTTGGCCGAGCAGCAATAACTGATAGAAAAGGTCACAGATCTTTAAATATCTATCAGCGCATGCTCGGCACCAACAGGCCCAGCAGACCATCCACAGTCACCAGACCAGAGACAGTGAGGGGTTCACGGGGTGCACAGCCAGCAAGGATATACTGGGTTCCAAAAGATAAAGAAATTTTTTTTTTTAAAGATTTTATTTATTTATTTGAGAGAGAGAGAATGAGAGACAGAGAGCACGAGAGGGAAGAGGGTCAGAGGGAGAAGCAGACCCCCGCTGAGCAGGGAGCCCGATGTGGGACTCGATCCCGGGACTCCAGGATCATGACCTGAGCCGAAGGCAGTCGCTTAACCAACTGAGCC